GTGCCTCCTGATGGCTTTGGAGACATCCTGACGCCTGCGGAGACTTCCGGAGACCTGCAGCGGCAGCCTTCGTCGTAATTGTCATCGTCATCGTCTCCGTCGTGCCGTCGTCGTCATCGTCGTCGTCGCCGTCGTCGTCGTTCTCGTCGTCGTTGTCGTCGTCGTCTTCGCGGGCTTCGAAGGGCCTCCAGAGGTTTCCAGAAGCCTCTGGAGACCTCCCGAAGTCAATGGACACCTCTGGAGATCTCCAGAGGCGACCGTCCTCGTCGTCCTCGTCGTCGTCCTCGTCGTCGTCCTCGTCGTCGTCGTCGCTGTCATTGTTCTCGTCCTCGTGGTCTTCGTCGTCCTTGGCCTCGTTCTCGTTCTCGATTCCTGCCGCTGGGGCCTTCGGTGGAGCTCTCCACGGGGCCACGCAACGCGTGAGGGGTGTGCCGGAATGGAAGGCGAAGACGCGTGCGGTTTCCTCCTCCTGGGAGCTTCGGTTGAGCTCCTCATGGGGCGGCCACGAAACGTACCCAGACCCCCTCGGGTAATGATGAAAAAAATCATGACTGGAGGTTTTTCCATATTTTCGGCCTCTCGAGGCCCTTACCGGGCCTCGGGACCGTCAAAAAACGACTCAGGACGAGAAACCGGTCCCGTGGAATGGGTCGAGACTTCGGGGGTCGACGCAATGAAAGAATCATGACGTCGGGGGTCTGGGTATGAGGGGTGTGCCAGGATGGACGTGCGGTGGGCGGGGAGCCGCATGCGATCCCTACCACTGGGGCCCTCGGTGGAGCTCCCTTGGGGCCACGAAACGTGTGAGGGGTGTGCCAACATGCGGAGGGCGGGGGCGCGTGCGAACGCTGCTACTTGGGCCATCGGTGGAGCTCGTTATAGGCCCAAGGACTGTGACGGGGCGTGCCGACGTGGGAGGCGGCGACGTTTGCGATCGCTGCCACGTTGGCCTTGCTGAGCTCCCTGTAAGGTCAAGGAACTTGCGAGGGCAGACCGGCACGTCAGGCGGGGATGCATGCGGATGCTGCCACTGGGGCCTTCGGTGGAGCTCCCCATGGGGCCCCGGAACGTGCGAGGGCTGTGCCGAAAAATTAGCACACGGTCGCCCATGCTTCCTGCTGTTGGGGCCTTCGGTGGAGCTCCCTCCCGGGGTATGGGACCACCAAGCGTGCGACATGGGCGCGGCCACGCGCGCGATTCCACCGCGGGGGCCTTCGGAAAAACTACCTGTGAGGCCACGAAGCGTGTGAGGGTTGTGGCGAGATGGGCGCGGTGACGCATGGCGGTGACGCATGAAGCTCCTGGCGCGGTCAAGCATGGAACTTCTTCGGAGGAGCTCCCTCTGGGGTATGGGGGCGCGTATCGCGTGAGGTTTGCGCGCGTGTGTGTGTGTGTGTGTCTGTGCGTGTGTCCGCGCGAGCGTGCGTGAGTGCGTGCGTGTGCGTGTGCTTGTGCGTGTGCGTTGCGGCGTGTGCGTGTGCGTGTGCGTGTGCGTGTGCGAATGCGTGTGTGTGTGTGTGTGTGTGTGTGTGTGTGTGCGCGTGTGCGTGAACGTGCGCGTGTGCGTGTGATGTGTAAATGTGTGTGTGAGTGCGTGTGTCTGTGTGTACGCGTGCGTGTGTGTGTGTGTGTGTGTGTGTGCGTGTGTGTGTATGTGTGTGTGTGTGTGTGCGGCGTGCGTGCGTGCGTGCGTGCGTGGGTTTGTGTGTGCGCGTGTGCGTGTGCGTGCGCGTGTGCGTGTGCGTGTGCGTGTGCGTGTGGTGTGTGTGTGTGAGTGCGTGTGTGTGCGCGTGTGTGTGTGTGTGTGTGTGCGTGCGTGCGTGCGTGCGTGCGTGCGTGCGTGCGTGCGTGCGTGCGTGCGTGTGTGTGTGTGTGTGTGTGCTGGCGTGTGTGTGTGTGTGTGTGCGTGCGTGCGTGCGTGCGTGCGTGCGTGTGTGTGTGTGTGTGCTTGTGTTTGTGTGTGGAGGGGGCAAAGTTTGGCTGAAACGAATTTTCCTGGCGCAGGGCCCAACCTTTTATGCACTTGTAAGTAACGCAGTTGTGAGTACCGTCCGCGGTGGAGCTCCTAATGGGGCCACGAAACTTGTGAGGGGTGTGCCGAAATAGACATGCGAAGGGCGGGGGAGCGCATGCGAACCCTGCCACTGGGGCCTTTGGTGGAGCTCCCAATGATGCCGCGAAGCGTGTGAGGGGTGTGCCGACATGGACATGCGGTGGGCGGGGAGCCGATGTCAACCCTGCCACTGGGGCCTTCGGTAGAGCTCCCTATGCAGCCACGAAGCGTTTGAGAGCTGTGCCAAAGTGGACAAGTGGAGGGCGGGGGATTGCATACGAACGCTGCCACTTTGGCCATCGATGGAGCTCCCTGAGGGGCCACGAGAAGTGTGCCGACATGGACATGCGGTGGGTGTGGAGCCGCATGCCAACTCTGCGACTTCGGTGGGCTTCCCACGAGGCCATGGAACGTGTGAGCGGTGTGCCGGAATGGACATGCGGCGGGCGGGCGAGCCGCATGTGAAACCTGCCGGTGGGGCCTTCGGTTGAGCTCCTTGAGGGCCTTCGGTTGAGCTCCTTAAGGAGTTACGAAAACGTATCAGGGGTGTGCCGGAATGGGCATGCGGAGGGCGGGGGAGCCGCATGCGAATCCTGCCACTGGAGTTTCTGGTGGAGCTCCCTACGGGCCACGAAACGCGTGAAGGGTGTGCCGTACTTGGCACGCGCAGGGCAGAGGTAAGAGTACAAGGTGGGAGGAGGGGGAGGAGGAAGGGGAAGTGAGTGACGCGGGGTCTGGTCTCTTCACAACGAGGACCCAACATCGGAGTCAAGCAAACATGTGAGCAAGTTTAAGGCAAATGTAGCGGTGTTTCTTGAATGCCAGCTGCCCTCCGTAATTGCAAGCGTTGGCCTTGGAGATTTTGTGATTAACCTTGTGGGAGCGTGTCGAGCAAAGCCCCCCCCCATCCAACAGACATGCCTGGTGGTTCGACGAGGTACACTGCGAAAGAAGCGGGGATGGGAGGCGGAAGGGGAGAGATGGGGGGAAGGACGAAATTGAGGACGAGCAGCAGCAGGAGTATATCTAGGATGAGGAGTGGGGCTGGAGCAGGTGAAGGAGGAGCGTAAGGTGGGGGAGGCGGATTATGTCGGAGAGGTTGTGATTTTTCTTGCGGATATCACAAGATCGATTGGAGGAGGTGGATTAGGACCACAAGGAGGGGAGATGGATTTCAATGATCCTTCAAAGGATCGGGAAACACAGTATTATGCATTTATCTTATATCATTGTGCGACCTCTACCCACTGAGCTCACACGCGGACCACTGTGCTCCAATTGTCGTTGAATTGCGTGAGGGTTCTTCCATAGGGCAAAGACTAGTGGCAGCCCACGTAAGACATCAGCAGCCTGTCGTCTGCCGGAGGCTTCGAAGACAGTAGCGCGCCGTCATAATGCTATAGTTATCTCGGTTCAGGGGCGGGCCTTCGGGTTCTCGCAGCACCAGGAGGCAGCAATGGCGGTCGCGGTTGCAACGAATGAGTTCGCATCTCCGTTCGAGAAGGTGCTCTTCTCGGATGAGATGGTCTTGAAGTACGAGCCGCTCGCGCTCTCGTGGGAGGCAGTCGTTGAGACTCAAGGTGAGGACGAGGTCGCCATGGAAGAGTACAAGACCCACTTGAAACTGTACAAGAGTTTTGACTGGTGTAGCACTTGGGACGGTAACAGGTATGACATTGTCTTTTACGGCGTGTCTGGATATACTGGGTACCTGATGATGGAATACCTGAAGCGCATTGCTCTGAAGTGCACCCCCGAGCCATTCACGTTCGCGTTCGCGGGCAGGACGGTGCGGAAAGTGGAGGACATGAAGGACCGCGAGTTTGCAGGAACGCAGTGGGCGAACACCCCGGTGTTGCAGATGTCGTACGACGACCCGAGGTCCATCGTTGATCTCGTGAAGAGTTCTCGCGTGATCATCAACGTGGCAGGGCCGTACATGGCCACCCAGGGAGAGCTCATGGTCGACATGTGCATTCAGCTCGGCGTGTCCTACATCGACATCAGCGGAGAGATCCCTTGGTCCTTGCGCGTCTTGGAGCTCCACAAGAAGGCTGTGGAGAATGGAGTCACCGTGGTCCCCAGCGCCGCATCGGCGGGGGGCTTTCCAGACCTGGGAACGTTCATATGCGCCAAGAAGATGCGGGAGGAGTACGGCGAGGAGCTCAAGAGCGCGATCTGCTACTGCGATGGAGGTGGCGCAGCGCCGACAGCCTCTGGGGGCACACTCAAGACGCGGGCCACCATGGCCAGCGCGGGGGAAGAGGTGCGCGCCAAGATGGCGGACCCGTTCTCGCTCGGCGGCTTCATACCCGAGGTCGACAGGTGGGGCGTGAAGAAGTGCAGCATCGACTTCGGCACCGGCAAAGCGAAGCTGAAGGTGCGGTCCCAGGACATGGACGCGAACATCTCCAAGATCTCGGAGGACAAGCGGCTTGGCGTCTGGCGGGGGCCCCATGTGTACGCCTATTTCGACACGCGCATCGTCCGCAGGTCGAACATGCTGCTGGCGGATCTTGCAAACCGCCCCTACGGAGCAGCCTTCAACTTCATGCAGTACAGCCTGCTGCCGACAGAGGGCCTCACGGCGATGAAGGGCGTGAAGAAGGTGAGCGTCGAGGAGGAGGAGAAGGCGCTCAAGGCGAAGGGCGCCTACTACGCTGAGGGCGAGGGCCCCCCCCTGGAGGAGCTGGAGGACGCCTGGGTCGGCTACTTCCTCTGGGCAGAGACGACGAACGGCCACGAGATCAAGTGCAGCATGGTCGGACGGGACGGCTACATGGAGACCGCCCGCGTCGCCATCGAGACCGCCATGTGCCTCCTGTTCGACAAGCTGCCCTTCAAGGGCGGCGTGCTGACTCCGACGGTCGCGTGCGGCGAGAACCTGCTGCGGAGGATGGTGGCCGGCAACCTCAAGTTCAGGCTGGGCGAGTGGCTCCCCGCGGAGGAGCGCTGCCCCCCGCCCTGGCCGCAGTGAGGGCCCACGCCTCCGCCCGCCCGCGGGGACAGGATCGGCGGCCAGGGCGCAGAGCTCGGGCTCCGACGCTGCGCGTGCTCTTTTCCCCCCCCGCGGGCCTCCGCCGCAGGCCTCCGGGCTTTCGAGCTGCCCGGCTGTTCACAAAAGGGGGCTTAAGACGAGCAAATGGTTGTGACACCATTCCGATGAGGCATTCGTCGCTTGTTCCTCTGTCGTTTTCTGGGGCAGGTGATTCTTTTTTGGGATGGGGTTCAGAGGTCGACCAATGTCCGACGTATTTGCTCGTCAAGTCCTTTTGACGAAGGCTGCGCCTGCTCACTGAGGTCGTTAGTAGCCGGGCAGCTGGACCATAAGAGTCATATCCCGACGTGGTTGCGCGCATCGACAGCCGAGTGTGCACGAGCCGCGTGTTGTGGGAATAGTGCCTCTCTCTCGATAGAGAGGGAGAGAGCGGGAGGGAGGGAGGGAGGGAGAGTGAAAGAGAGAGGTAGCGAGGTGTAGTAATGGCACGTGTAAAATATATAAGCGTGCACGTAGATGACCGCCCTCCGGGTGATAAGGGCAATTGTAGGAATATGCCTCATCTGTTGGTGTACGGTTAACTCCGAGCAAGGTTGGCAACCAGTCTATCACCATGGAATGTGTGTGCATGTGTAAGAATCTGTCTCCTAAGCCAAACCCCACATTCTTGACCTCCCCGTATCCCCACCAGTCCATCCAGAAACATATCGCCAGGCGAGTTGCCGTGATCGATGAGGGAAGTGTAGACGTATGCAGCGGAACAACCACCTTGAAGTTGTTTCGGTTACGCTGGAACGGCGGGAACATGTGTCGAATTATGTAGCGAGTGTTCCCATGGCGCGGCGGCTTCTTTGGGGTCTTCTGGGGTCCCTCTTGGAGTTGTCTTGAGTTCTCACGGGGCGGGGAGGCGATGTTTGGCAATGGGAGGAGGACTGTGGAAAGGAACACAGGAGGAGGCAGAAAGGACGACGAGCATGAGCCAGTAGATGGATGGGGAAGGACGAAGGTGACGACGATGAAGGCGACGACGGCAACGACGAGTCAGCCAGGAGACCGTCGCGGAACTTTCGCTCCGCGAGCCTCTTGAAAGCTGATTGCAGATCCCTTGCGGAGACCCTGCAACTCACCACCCACCAAACCACCCCAACCCAACCCGAAGGGTCAGATTTACCCTCGATTTCTAGTGGGGGGGGGTCTGGGAGCATCAAAAAAACACGTATGGAGCCCATACCCCCCCCAACCCGAAATTCGGGTCTTCGGGTTGGGTTGGCGTGGTCTGGTAGGTAGTCAGCAACGACTCCTGCAACGGCCCTGCAGAGCGACCCCGCAGCGACCCCGCGAGGGCCCTCCGGCGAGCCTGCGCAGAGGCCCCCGGAAGAGCCGGCCGCCCGAGCCCTCCTGAGGCCTCGGCGGGCCCTCGGAAGCGAGCAGGCGAGACCGCCCACACTCAGGAGGGGAAAAAACACACAGACACAATTCATCGTCGATTTCCTAGAAAATATGGGAAAATATGGGAAGTGGTGGGGAAGACAAAAAACCAGAAAATATAGGAAAATATGGGGAATCTTTTTATTTGTGTGTATTTATTTGTGTGTCCCGGTTTCCCTTCACACACAGGCTGCTCCCCCCTGGATATCATAGCTGCCTCTTTGCCTCCTGAGGCCCTTCGCGGGCTCGTTGGAGGCGTCTGGGAGCTCCCTTTTTGGGTGGTCTGGGAGGCCTCTTGGGGCCGTCTTTGGGCCCCATGGCTCAAAGAGAATGGAGCTTTCCTTCGGGTCCCCCCCTCGGATGCTCACAAAGGGCGTCTTGGGGCCATCTTGGGGCGCTCTTGGGCGCTCTTGGGGCCCCCTCTTGGGGCCCTCTTGAGCTCCTCTTGGGGCTCTCGTGAGCCTTCTTGGGGCCATCTTGAGGTTCGAAAAGCCAATCGGAAGCGAATTGGCGAGAAATCAACACACATTTATGTTCCCTGGTTTTTGAAGGACGTTGGCTTCTTTGGGGCTACCCTGGGCGGCTCGGAGGGCTCTTGGAACCGCCTTGGGGCGTCTCGGAGCTATGTTGGAGGCTATCTTAAGCCATCGTGAGCTATCTTGCGCCATCTTGGAGGCCATCTTGGGTTTTCTGAAGCCCTTTTGGAGCGCCATCCTGGGCGCTCTAACTGCCCGCGCCCCCGCCTCTGCCAGGCCCAGGGAAGGGGGCGGGGGGAGGGGTCGAGGCCCCCCAAGACCGCAAGCCGTCTCGCTCACTCCCGCCCGCCTTCCCAACACATGAGTAGCACCCGAGCCTCAGCACATCGCCGAGGAGCGCCACGCATACCATCTGCGCCACGGGCTCGGGTGCACCAGGCACCCTAGAGGCCCGAGCGTGCGGGGCGCTGCAAGTGCGGCACGTGCTCCACGAGCGCCCAGCGCGCCGCGTGCTCCAGCCGCTCCGGGTGCTCCACCCGCTCGGCGCGCGCAGTGTGCGCGAGGTGCGCCACTGCACAGCCGTCACAGGGCAGATTGTGTATTGTGTCTTGCGAGGGATGGTCGGCCTGCGCGCAGCAAGCAAGATATGCCGGCGCCCCCGCCGTCCCTACCAGAAGCCACTGCAAAGGGGTCAGAGGGCGCCCGCAGAGGGATCCGTGGGGCGCCCACGACGCTCCGGGCTCGGAGGCCACGTGCATTCGGTGCTGCTTTTTGACAGTGGCTGTCGGCTTGCGCGCAGCTCGTGCACAACAAGCAGCATGCCGGCACCCCCGCCGTCCCCGTCGAGGACCAAGGACGAGCGGTCGCGGGGCGCCCGCACGTGCTCGAGGTCTGGTGGGCAGAGTGTGTTCCGCGCTGTTTTTCGAACGGGATGGCGGGGGGTGGTCGGGATGTCCCGGGTTGGCCCACAGTCGGGTGGGGATCGGGGGCGGAAAAGAGGGGGGTGATGACTAGGGGGGGTGGATATCATGGCGCGGGCTATGATATTTCCCCAGATCTCATGGCGCCTCTTCTTGTTTCATTACGTCCCTGGCCCCCCCGCTGGGCCGCGCACATGCCGCCGGTCATGATTTGCACCCCCCCCTCTTGGACACCCCCCTCTTTGCCGCTCCCGAGGGGAAGGGGGCGTTCAATAACCAGGAGCAGTGATCAAGACACCCTCCCCGCCCGCAGGCCGTCTCGCTCATTCCCACCCGCCCTCCCAGCACATAGTAGCACCCGAGCCGCAGCGTGTTCAGCGGTAGTCTTTTTATGGGCAGCTAGCGGAAACCAAACAAAACATGTGCGCAACGTTATGGCGAGATGCGCCAGGCGCGACACGCGCACCAGGTGCGCCAGGCACCCCTGTGGCCCAAGCGTGAGGCACGCCTGGTGCGCCAGATGCGCCACGTGATCCACGTGCGCCATGTGTGCCGCATACTCCACGTGCCAGGTGCGCCTGCGCACGTGGCAGTACACATCGTGAATCCTGTCGGACCCCACCACCCTTGTCGGAAACTGGTGCGCAATCTCGGCGGGGTGGCCATCATAGCGTTTGGTGGGCCTGCACATAGCAGGCAATATGCCAGCACCCCCGCCGTCCCAGCCAAGAGCCAATGCATAGTGATCGCTGGGGGCACGCGCAGAATCCACATTCTGCCTAGAAGTGCACTGTATTGTTTTCCTCCGGCGTCCCTTTTTCAAAACAGTACACAGTGCTCGCAGCCTCCCCGGTCATGACCCAAGATTGTGGCCCAACATGGAATTTATATTGTTTTTGACGGATGGTGGGGGGGCCCTCTTTGGTCCTGGTTGGCTGCCGGTCGCCTGGGGGAGGGGGTGTTTCGCAATCACGGGAAAGAGGGAGCTTTGGCAGAGAGACGACAACACTCGTTGAACCACCCACGCTCAGAGGGCTTCCCCCAAAAACGCTTGTACCTGAGGGTTCTTGTTTGTCTACGGAGCTGGCGTCTACGTTGTTCCGGCGATGATGCAGCCGCCGTCGCCGCCCCGTCGCCGCGTCGCTGCCGCCCGTGGGCGGTCCTGTGGCCATGCAGCCCTCGTCGCCGCCCCGTCGCCGCGTCGAGCTTGCCCGTCGTTTAGACCTGTGCGCTTGTCTGACGGCTGGCGCTCCTCTGCAAGTCCGTCGGCTCCGACGCCGCCCGGTTCCGAGGCTGTGCCTCCCCCCGGCCTCGTGTTCTGAGGCTGCACCCCCCTCTTCTCCTCCCCCCTTCTCTGCGCAACTCAAGCCCTGCGCGGCCCGCTCAGCTTCGACCGGAAGAGGAGGAGGAGGAGGAGGAGGAGGAGGGAGGAGGAGGAGGAGGAGGAGGAGGAGGAGGAGAGGGGGAGGGGAGGGGAGGGGAGAGGAGGGAGGAGGAGGAGGAGAGGGGGAGGGGGAGGGGGAGGAGGAGGAGGAGGAGCAGGAGGAGGAGGGGGAGGGGGAGGAGTAGGAGAAGCGGTGCGTTCTCGACCCGCGAATCCAAAATTGTCTGACGGCCAGCTCTTTGGCCGACGCTGCCGCCCCGACGCCGCCGCCTCGCCGCCCATATCGTGTGGGCCTTTTTGTGCTGGCCCGGCGGCCGTGTGGCCGCCGCTGCCGCCTCCGTCTGCCGTCTCGCCGCCGTCTGTCGTCTCAGTTTTTGCGTCGGTGCAGCGGCTGTGTGCAGTCGGGTTCCATTAGTAGGTCGGCCCTGCGAAATCAAGGGTGCTCTTGTGTCCTGTGCATCGCGCGTCGCGTCCTCTGCGGCCGAAGGGCAGGGTACCCTTGCGTCCTGTGGTTTCCGCGGGTGTCCTCGGCTTGGCCCGCGGCGGTCTGAGCGCGTCGCGCCGGCGGGAGGTCGCGACCCCTGTCTAGGGTACCCTGGCCGCCGCCGCCACTCGTCGCCGCCTGTCGCCGCCTCGCATACATTCTCCTTTGTGCAAGAGTTTGAAGATCTACCGCCCCCGGGACTCAACGGATCCCTTTTTTTCGTATTGCAATATGCATGTGATTCTACCCCGTCGTCCGCCCCGAATATGAACGTATGCCATCACAGC